GATGCCCTACTATTCAGGCAGCAGTTGCTTCCTTATCGCGTCGCCTTACGTGATTCCAGCATCGCTTATCATCCTCTTCCTCTCTGCATACAAATCAACCACACTGCAATGTGCCACCACTGAAAGAAGAAGGCTCTTAAGACCGACGAAGATCCCGCCTCAAGCTTTAAGCCCTACCGAGTCCCCCATTATGGACTCCAATAGCTCAAATGCTCGCGTCTCGGTGGCCTGTGAGACCTGCCGCCGACGGAAGCGCAAGGTAAGAGCATCAAATCGGCCTTCGCGCCACATCTTCAATAGCCCCGTGAGTGACTGGTAATGAGGGAGCTTTTTCCAGTGTGATGGCTTGCGTCCTGCTTGCTCGTTGTGTATAACCAAGCGTGCAGTTTGCCAGTACAATACCGAAAAGCGCAACAGGTCTGCATCCCCATTGAATAGTCCTCAGCCCCTATCTTAACATATCTTTCAATCATGACAGGCGTAGAGTTGACGCGGACTATGTGAGGGGGCTGGAAGATCAGATCGCGATGCTCAAAGAGGAGTTGCATCGATCCCAACCCGTCGACGCCGTCACTTTGACCGAGAACGTCTCGCTCGGACGCAAAGAGGCTTGTGCGAATTCCCATAACAATACGGCAGATCCTGCTATTGTTGCTACAGCTATACCAGACAACATGTCAACTGCAATCGAAGACGTCAGCGCCCTGATCTGGCGCATGAGTATTGAAAGCAATGGTGAAGAAGCGTTTATTGGACCGTCGGGAAATTTCTGTTTCCCTGTCTCCCACTGGGAGGATCTGAGCACGGGTGGACAGAAGCATATGCCTTCGACGACTCTCCCTAGCCCAAGATCCTGGGAAGAACCCTCCGGATCTAGCCGGACGGACATACGAAGTACGAAAAGCTACCTGCTTGCTTTGTTCACACAATGCGTCAACCCCATTCACCAGTTCGTCGACACTGAGACTTTGAATAAGCTGCACGGCGATCACCTGAACGCAGACCTCACACTAATCAAGACCGCTGCATTAGCCGCTGGCGCACTTTACTCAGATGATGCCAAGAGCAGGACAGTTGGCGAGGAGGCTGCAGCCGTGGTTGACGCCATGGTCATGCAGCACTGTCGAGAATCGCCGAGTGTTCATACCGTACAGGCTTTGTCTATCATGTGCTGGCGGGAGCTGGGGCTTGAGGAACACAACATGGCTTGGATGTACAACTGTGAGTGCACTGAGTGATTCCAGTGGGCTGGTCCATGTCGAACTGACAAACTATGACGACGAGAAGCAATGTGTGCTAGTATGGCCCTACACCTAGGCCTACCAGTCAGCATGGCCCAGGAGACCAAATTGTCCGATGCTGAGTCCATCAATTCACCCCAAGAAGTTCACCCTCGTCACATTCAGTTGAGAGCGCTCTGGTCATCAGTGTTCATGGATCGGTATGTGAGAGGCAACATCGCGATGCGATTCTTCCAAACTGATGCCACCGAGACAGCATCGCAACATCCCTTTTGGGACGCAACTGTATGCTCCCATGGAGGCGGATCAAGACCCAGTTCTTTATCAGCACCGTTGGGCCCGTACCTTCTCTAGACGAGCTAGCCTTTGACCATCAATGCCGCTTGTGGTTCATCCATGATCAACACATGGATAGAATGTATGTTTCCGCCCCAGAAGCAGGACCCACCCAGAACTCCGACTCATTCAACTTGAACCTCCAGCTACTCGTTCGAATTCACAAGCTTGAGCAGCGCCCAAAAGTCCCATATCTTGTTGAATGCGCGGGACCAATTGTACGCCTTTCGGCGACAGGTGGACCCTCAAATCCAGTTGGGCCGGACCCGTGCGATCGTGCCCTCGATCATCTACTTGCACATCTCGTACCACATGTCGCATATACTCATCCACCGACCATATCTCAAGCAAGCCACCCAGCGAAGCAGCATGTACCAGCTATGCGTTCGCGCCATGTCCACCGCCGCGGCGTCGATCGTCCGACTCCTCCGTGAGTACCGCAAGGTCGCGCCGGTCGACCACATGCCCCCGTTCGTGGTTCACAGTGTGCTCACAGCCGCCGTGACGCATCTCTGCAATGCGACCTCGACGTACCAGGCTCTACGAAGCGCGTCAACTGCGCAGTTTCGGGTGTGTTTCCATGTGCTGTGGGCGATGCAGCAGCGGTGGGTCAAAGCGAGGCGAGCGATTTGTCTCTTGCGGCAGCTGGCGCGCAGATGGCAGGTCATGGGGGCCTTGCCTTTGCAGCACGGGTTTCCTGCTGTCTCCAATCCGAGAGAGGAGGCGCCAGAAGAGGAGCAGCTTGAGTCAGAATGGTTGCCCACGGAGGAGGCTCATGAGGACGAGGACACGGCTTTATTTGACAGTGAAGAAACAGGGACCGCCAGCATCTTTCCCGACATCTTCCATGAGACCGGCTTCGACGTGTTTGGGATGACAGACTACTAGCACGGTTTCCTTAGTGATTCAATCTCGCATATCTTCTCCATTGGACTTCAACTTCCAACGCGCCACAGTTATTAAATATCCGTTTTTACGACCACCAGCTCTAAATCAGGTGTACCTTCGGCTCTCAGCCTGCTCAAGGGCGTTGGCCATTGGGGTGGTTTTATCAGGACCAGAAGGTCATCTTCAAGTGGTCTGACAGTTCGCCGAAAACCGGGCGGGGTCAAGCGGCGGAAGACAAATTCCGCCTCGATAACCCCGCGATAATCTGATAAGAAGCTATCTGAACGAGCTGCAACAGTCATAACACTTGATTAAAGTTATCGCCGTCTCTGCTCTGCTTGCGCTGTGTACAGCTTAAAAGTGCGCATACTTTAACCTCCCAGCACCGGAGCTTCTGAAGCTCTCCCACACGGTACTCTACCCAGAAAGCCAGCACCACAATAACCTCATCATGCGCGCCCCTGCCACCTCAACAGTCCGCGTCGCCGTCACCCAAGCCGAACCGGTGTGGCTGGATCTCGACGCAACGGTCGCGAAGACATGTACTCTGATTGCTGAAGCCGCCAGAAAGGGCGCGCAATTGATCAGCTTCCCCGAATGCTGGATCCCGGGATACCCTGCTTGGATCTGGTAAGGCAAGCCCTTCGCCCTGCCCTAACCCGATCTCCCCCAACAAACTGGCACTCAAACCTGACGCAAGCACTTCTACAAATCCTTCTAGGTCCCGTCCCGTCGACATGAACCTTTCATCTCTGTACATCCAGAACTCCTTGAAGGTCGACTCCCCGCAGATGGCGACGATCCAGCGCTGCGCGGCGGAGCACAAGATCGCCGTGGTGCTGGGCTTCTCGGAGCACATCCACCACTCCCTGTACATCGCGCAGGCGATCGTCGACTCGGACGGGAAGATCCTCGCGCTGCGCAAGAAGATCAAAGCCACGCACATGGAACGGACCATCTTCGGCGACTCGTTCGGCGACTGCCTCAACAGCGTGGTTGACACCACCGCTGCCGGGCGCGTCGGCGCCCTCTCGTGCTGGGAGCACATCCAGCCCCTCCTCAAGTACCACACGTATGCGCAGCGCGAGCAGATCCACGTCGCCGCCTGGCCGCCGCTGTTCGAGGCGGACAATAAAGAGGAGTGTTTGTATAGCATGTCGCGCGAGGGTACTTTCCCTTTCCTCATTGGGACCATTTCCTTCCCACTCAGTATCGGCTAACACCGCAAAATAAATTGCAGGAACCATCGCCCTCGCCCGCACCTACGCCATCGAATCCCAGTCTTACGTCCTGCACACCACCGCCGTCATCAGCCAGGCCGGGATCGACAAAATGCAGACCGCCACGGGGAGCATGATGAGCACCCCCGGAGGCGGCAGTTCGGCGATCTTCGGGCCCGATGGCCGCCTGCTTTCGGCGCCCATCCCCAGCACGGAGGAGGGGATCATCTACGCGGACTTGGACCTGGATGGGCCGATTCAGCGGACGAGAGCCTTTGTCGATGTCTGTGGGCATTACAGCCGACCAGATTTGCTGTGGTTGGGGGTGGGGTCGCGAGACGGACGCCACGTAAGGGAGTAGAGGTAGACGTTGACGGGGTGGTGAAGAACGGTGGATGGTGGTCAAGACCATGTACTGTCCAATCTTGCTTTCAGTCTCCAGGCTTGGCATGCATCCTGTATTTCTTCGTCTTCAGCTCTGCTTTCTGTCGCCTGTACCCTACAAGACAGGCGAGCTCGCAGTTTCCCCGGCTACGTATATATTTTCCGCTTCTCGCAACATCAAGAATCTAGCCATACAGCCACACCCTCACCTACTCTGATAAACCCCCTGCCCTTCCCCTCGAATCGCTTCTCTGATATACTCCTCAAAAGAAACATACTCGAAATCCGGATACAAGTCCTTCCCACTCAAGTACCCCAGGTACTCTGCATTCTCAGGAGTATTATCCCCCCTGATCCCCCAAGAATAAAACAACTGCGCCACAACATGCGCCAGCAAGGCCCCGGTATCCCCAGGGCTGAGGGCCAGCCTCATCCGCGCCTTATCCACCGCATCCCGCGCCTCCGCCTCGGATACCTAGTTCAACCCCAACGTCAGCTCCTCCCTACCCCTCCAACCTAAAACGGTACAACCAAAAAAGGACTCGACTCACATATCTCCGCTGGCCCACAGTTATGAGGCCCTCTTCTATAGATGGTCTTAGCACCTCTTGGTGCTTTATAATCCAGATTCGATCTTCTGGCTCACATACGAAGTAAATGACTAACCTAGGGTTTCCGAATGTAACGCAAAACAAGTGACCCGGTTGATTGCTTTTGCATCACTTAATCGAACGATCTTGTGGCGAGAGCCCAGCGGGTCAACCCCGACAGGTCAACCCCGACAATTAGGGTTAGCATCCGTGCTACTACAGATGGCTTTTCAGCTGCATGCTTCCATGAGCACAGCCTGCTTTGCCCCTGGGCTCGGAAATACTCAAGATAGATCGCCCTTTTGCTCATTGGAAACTCAAGCGAAGCAGATACGACCAAGTCATAGCCGACTCTCCGTCTGCCTCTCCCTGTTCCCCTCCTCCCCAAAAGTCGGCAACCCCGCCGCAAACCTTTCCATCCGCTCCGCCGAAAGAATCGGCGCCGTGCAAAACCGCGCCACCCCCAGCCCGTCCAGCAGCTCCTCAACCCTAGGCTCCAGCGCATCCAGCGCCCGCCCCTCCTGGTCCAGTTGCGCCTCACGTGATAGCCCGCAGTGCTCCGCATACCACGCCGGATCCTGCAACACCACCCCCGCCTCGTACAGCGCCAGAAGATCCGGTTCGACACCGGCATCCAGCGCTGCCTCGTAGGCCATGCGCTGGCCGATCGCCTCGACGATGGGCAGGCACTGGGGCAGGAGCACGCGGTTGTATTCGGCGCCGCGGTGGCCGTCGGACATTGTGTGGAGGCGCGTGCGGGCGGCAGCTAGCAGGCCGGTCTCGTGCTGGACTAGAAGTGTGGCAGGGTGCCTGGGCTGGGGCATTGCGTAGCGGCTCAGGAGGAGCTCGGTTGTTAGGCCTACATGTTTATAATTTGTGTTAGTTTCTTGACAGGTAATCGGAGACTATGGTGATGGGTGAGCTTGGATTCGGGGCACGAGGGTCAACATACGAATGCTCAGAACCAGTGCATCCCCCTCCGAGACAGCAATCCCTCGGCTTTCGAGCTGCGATTCGACGATGTGGTTGTACTCGTACAGCCCCTGGGCGCCGCAGCGCTCGGCGAGGTGAAACCCGCTGTGCTGGACCGCCTTGGATAGGACGGCCTTGACGCAGACCCCGAGTGCGTGGCGGACCGGGGCTGCGTGGATTGGATCTGTGTACTGTGCAATGCACTGGGGGATCCAGGCCCCGAAGACGGCGATCTGGGCTAGAGCGTGCAGGAGGGGTTGCTGTTGGGTCCGAAAGGTGAATATCGGGATAGGACTGCCTTCAGGGTTGGTGATGCGGCGGCGGAGGCTGTACTTCCCCGCCACAAACGCACAGCGCTTGAGGATCGGAGATGGCCATCGTGCCGACTCCAATCCGTGAGATGACGTGCAGGAAGTTCTTGCGGGGATCTTCCGGCTTGGCAAGAGAGCCCAGCAACGCAGATGCTGGGAGACGAACATGGTTGAAGCTGGTGATCGAATGGTCGAGGGGCTTGGAGCCGGCTCGACGGGGAAGCACTCTACGCGCAAATATAGATGAGATCGGTCATCCTAATGATGATTCGGGAGGCTTAGGAGGCTAGCACATACCTGCATGTAACGCCAGGGCACATTTCCCGGCCGTTGTTCAGTCAGACAACAAAAGGCCGCACGTCTCGGTCTTCGTTCTCCACTATAAGTCTGGCCATGACGAGGCCAAACCGTGGGAATCCTTCTACCGGTGATGTAGGAGGCATGTACTTGAGCAATTTTTAGATTTTGTGCCATCGGTGCAGGGGGGTTGTGAGTGGATTTAACTTACTTGGCCGCGTGCAAGTGAGGAGTGTGTAGATCGAAACTACCGTCTGACAACAAGGTTGCTGTCGTCTCTATATGCTTGGCATCGAGGCCATGGCCTAGCTCGGTGAGCATATACTGCCCTCTGATGAATTGATCAACAAAAAAGTCTACCACTGGGTCAAGAACTCACTGAACGTCAAAGCTCAGCACACGCTTGACAAGATCCTGGTACTCGGAATAGGCAGCCAAGCTACCGGCGACGAGGTTGCATTGGATGGTGATGAGTGAGAACGCGGAAATATCAAAAGCGCAAATATCATCACGGTGAAAGGCCCAGAACTTGGGTGTTAGGTGTAGAATATCGTTTGGCGCGAAGCCTAGAGTAGTGCCAGTCAGTGTAGTGAAACAGTTGCTATTGGATGCTCGTCCCACCATAGTATCTTGTGATGCTTCGAGCTCGGAGATAGCTCATCCGGGTCTTCTCCACGTCTGAAAGACTATCATAAGAAAGAGTGAATAGATTTTGGTCAAGTAGAACAGTGGTAGAGGACATCATAACGATGGCTTTACTGGTTTGTGGATGATATGCTATGGAGGATGGACGGAAGCTTGTCTTATATGTCCTTCAAGATGCTTGCACGAAAAGACACTTTTGTGACCTGAGCTTTCGTCCTTCGATGATCAGTAAAATGTGATCTACTCGCCGCTTATTTCTTGAATGATTGACTTTTGTTCTGTGGGCCCTTGGTTGCAGTTGCGAATTTTGGTTGAGGTCTCCGTACCTGTCATATCCCTCTCTCCTCGAAGCCCATCGACGTGTATTGCAAGCTGGTCCATGGACTTAGGTATCGATGACTTAGTGTTGACATCGAGGAAGCAACAATTCTTGCTGAAAGAGCAAAAGGCGATGGCTCTTTCCTATTCAAGAGACTACTCGTCGCTTGCTGGCCTCATTCTGGTGCAGGTCAATTACGACATGACTCGTGCAGACTGCACGATCGGTAAGATTCAACGCATGCGTACCAATATTCAATATCAATGTTGTCTGGGAAGATGTGCAGAGAGTATGTACCCGTGAATGAGTCTATTAGGTGCACGATTTTTGGAATAACACCCACACTGAGTTATACCTTGCGCCCAGTGTTCATAAACAGGTCTACGGAGCAGAGGCCACGATTCAATGCGCGCCATTGACGACATAAACCGGACGTAGATCAGAACGGTCGTGAGCTTTTAAATAGCGCAGGTCAATTCTATACTAGTGGGCACGTTTAAATACTCGTGGACTCGCAGGAATCGATAGCTACACCTCGAAACCGGCAATATACTGCCAATATAGTGTTATATTTAATATTGCTTATCGCCCCGATATAGAGACGATGATTATTTCCCTCACGATGACAATCCTTGGATACTTGTACCTTCTGCTACGACTCAACAAGAGAAGACATCGATATCCACCGGGGCCGCGGCCACTCCCGATCATCGGCAATCTGCACCAGTTGCCACGGCGGGATCCGTGGCGAACCCTAAAAACCTGGCACGATCGACACGGCCCCATCATCACCGTCTGGATGGGCTCCCGCCCCATGATCATCATCGGTTCTTTCCATTGCGCGAAAGAGCTCTTCAAACGACGAGGGGCCATCTATGGCTCTCGCCCCGCGTACTTTGCCGATGCCATGGGCAGCGACTCCCTGGCCGTGGCTCTGCCATATGGTCTCCAGTGGCGCCGACACCGCCTCCTCCTCTACGCATTGCTGAACAAGCGCCGATGCAAGGACTACCTCAGTCTCCAGGTCCTCGAGTGCAAGCAGCTGTTGTGGGAGCTGCTCTCGACCGACGATTTTGCGGGGCGATTCCACCGCTTCACCGCGAGTTTGACTTTCGCGTTGGCGTATGGGCGCCGACTGGAGCGCGGGGATGAGCCAGAGGTGAAAGAGATAGATCGCATCATGCGCGAGCTCCTGGGCGAGGTGTGTCTGCCAGGGGTGGCGTTCCCTATCCTGGACCATTTGCCAGACTGGCTGGCACCGTGGAGAAGAAGCGCCGCCCGACTACAGGACAGCCAGGCGCGGTTCTTCACACACCACATGCTGAGGGCAATCCAAACGACAGAAACAAAGACATGGAGTCAGACCATCCGCGACCTCGCCTGCGCCCGATGGCCCGAGTCGGTATTCAGCGAGAACGAGATGGCCCACGTCATCGGAGTCAACTACGAGGCCGGCAGCGACACCACGGCCTTTGTGCTCGAAGTCTTCATCCTGGTGGCGGTGCTGCAGCGACCGGCCGTGCTGCGCGCGCAGGCTGAACTGGACGAACTGGTGGGTTCTCAGCGGATGCCGACACTGGACGATATGCCTCGACTTTCGTACCTCCGGGCTTTTGTGGAAGAGGTGCTGCGCTGGCGGCCCGTCGTTCCTGGGGGTCTACACCATTGCACGACTCAGGACGACAAGTACATGGGCTACCGCATTCGGCGAGGTACGACTGTCATCCAGAACCACTGGTCGCTGGAATTCGATGAAGAGGTCTTCCAGGATCCGCACAGCTTCCTCCCGGAGAGGTGGATCGAGAACCCCGATCTACCAATCTGTGCGTTCGGAATGGGGCGAAGGCTTTGTCCCGGCGAGCATCTGGCTCGTAACTCGTTGAATCTTGTCATTTCGCGCATGCTGTGGGCGTTTCACATTCAGTATGTGGGGGATGAGCCGCCAGACCCCTTTGCCATGACACAGGGGATCAGCTCACGGCCACAGCCCTTCAAAGCTGAGTTTCGGCCGCGGAGCCCGTCTCGTCGAACTCTCATTGAGACTGAGTGGAAGAATGCTTTAGATGCTGGTTCTATTTAATTCAGTTTATAACGCGCCAAGCCTCCTGTTCTCAACCTCTACTAAGCTTATCTACAGGAGCCTTGTAAGATCGGCATAATTAGATATCTGTGGCCATGAAAGTATCTGCTTGCAGTGATAACTACCGTATAGTCCTCCTCAAATTGGATCCTGAGGGTTTTTGGAGATGTGACATAGAATAATATACTTAGTATAGAGACTCTAACCCGGAGTTCACCTCGTTGTTTTCTACCCCTATCCCATAGACCCTAGAAACATTCACGGAATCCCCTCCCAACGACAACAAGAACAACCCAACCCAGCAGATCTCAAACTCCGCCATACATCCCAATTCATCCCCCTCCCAAAGACTACACCCACAACCCGACCACCTCCAAAATCACCCCCACCAACTCCTCCGCCGCCGACATCTGCGGACTATGCCCCGTGTCCAGCTCCCGCGTCACCCACTCCACCCCCGTCGCCTCCACCATCGCCCGCTGCGCCTCATACGGCACCGCGCGGTCCTGCAGGGTATGGATGTATGCCACGCGTCCACGAAACGCCTCCGTCGCCCAGCTCGCCTGCGGACACTCACTCGCAAACGAGGTATACCCCTGACTGAGGGAGGACCGGGCCGCCGCGGCCGCGAGAACGGGCTCGACGTCGTAGAAGAGCGGGGGGATGGGGTCGGCGCATTTGAGGAGGTTCTCTTCTTCCTAGAGCACAGACAGACACTATCAGTTTCATTCGAGGTAAATCGCACACAGACACATTTGTCGAGTCAACCACACCGCCAGAAAGTCTTGCTGGTATAGGGACAAGCAACGCCAAGGCCAAGGCGGGGAGGGGGGAGGGCATACATCAAACTGGATATGAGGCGGCAACTGGCCCCCAAACCCATCAATCACGCTCGACCCATCCCCGCCGCGGAGAAGGATGCTGGCGATGAAGATCTGGCCCAGTACCGCCGTGGACTTGCCCTCCGCGGCGCGGTCGGCGCGAGCAAGCCCCGCTGCGGCGGCGCTGGCGGGCATCCCGCTGTAGGAGTGACTGATCAGGATTACGTCCTGCCGGGCTACATCCAGTAGGGGCAGGAGCAGGCGGTGGCGGATGTAGTGGGTGTCGTCGGCGGCGGTGATGGGGTCGGTGGCGCCGATGCTGGGGAGAAGACCCGTGAAGGTGCCGTGGCCGGCGGATTGGAGGAGGTGGAGGAGGTGGGCGTAGTGGGACGGGTTCTGCGACGCGCCTGGGATGACGACGAAGATGGGTTTCTTGGGGTGCGACATGGTTGGATTTGGGGATTTGAGGGTGGACTGGATACGACTTGGGGGATGAAGGAGAAATTGAGAGTCAGAGGGAGAGAGCTGACGGCATGCAGATGAGGGGCTTATAATGCTGTTGTTCGTGATCGAGGCGATGCCCTCAGGTTGTCAGCTTAGTATAACCGACTTTTTGGTGACTGCGTAATGCACGCACTATGTCGGATGGTACCGCTCAAGCTTACCTCTGATTCGATCTCCCGCTTATGGTGGAGCACCAGTGCAATGATTTGAGTGGCTGCTTCTGCTTTAGCGTGAATTCTTGCTTCATCTCAGCTCCGGTGCGGATCGGCTTGCTATAGTGCTTACTCCGTATATTCTCTCGCCTGAAACCTAATCAATGCTCCAAACATCAGATTGTCAGCATGCTGGTGCACGCGTGTCAGCAGAGTGAGCGAGTAGCTGAGAGAGGTTGCTGTCAGCCCTTGCCTATCCTGCCTAGGCACATGATAAACTACAACCACAGCGGGTAAATTTCCGTGGATGAAGGAGGTGGAGGTCTCCATGTTAGGGTCGAGGACATGCCAAAAGGTGAAAGACTAAGCTCGGAGCTACTCAGCGGATGATGCTGACTATCTTAGGCTCAAGAAATGGTAATGGTTCTGTGGTAACTGGGGGGATCTCTCGTAGGGGTTGAGCATACATAAGGAGTAACTAGGGCATGCCGTACCACATGACCTTGGCTATAGGAGCATTTCACATCTCACATCGTCCCCACCCGGAAAGTCTCCTCCATCAATCCATCCAAGCCGACCCCTTCAGTGCTTCAGAGTGAGCACACCCGGCCGCCACGGTTGAGTGTTGTAGTCGCCACTGCTGTTGGGGTCCTTGCCCTGATAGAGCAACTGGAGGTTACAAGGATCGACGGTCATCGTCTGATCCGGGTTGTTGCGCACTAAGTCGCCGTGACTAATGTCCTGAGTCCAGGTGGCACCACTGTTGGCCTTGCCCGCGAAGGGCTGGTTCTCGCTGGCCGCCTGGGGCGTCCACGCCCCGCCGAGACTGCTAGCCGTGAAGGACCGGAAGTACCGACGCCCAGTCGAGCCAATCGCCTCGACGATCATCAGGTACTTGCTCTGGCCCTGGCCGCCCTGGACGGTGTACACCTGGACCGCCTCGAAGATATCGTTCCGGGCGCCACTGAGCACCACCTCGTACTGCGTGCCGAAGTTCCCAGGGAAGTTGCCGATGGGCATGCTGGCCCGGTAGATCTGGCCGTTGTCGCCGGCGAAGAAGAGATACATGTTTGTGGCGTCACCGATCACGGTCTGGTCGATGGCGCCCGTGCCGGAACTTTCGCCGCTACCGATCTGGCCCGAGAATAGGGGCTGCTCTGCGGACCAGCTGTTGACGTTGGTGGGGTCGGTGGAGGTGCGGTAGGTGAAAGTGCTGGACCCCCACTGGGTGGCGAGCACCCAGATGTTCTTGGGCTGGAAGTAGAACAAGGTGGGGGCCACGGCACCGAAGCTCGTGGCGATTTGGCTGGCTTGAGCCATGTCCGCCCAGTTGGAGAATGGACTGAAGGTCATCGACCCGTAGCTACCTTTGGTATCGGTGGTTGATGCATAGACGATGTGCTTGCCATTCCAAACAACATCAGTGAAGTCTTTCAGGCTGGTCCATCCCGACTTCGGAGTTGCGAGAGCTCCGGTTGAGGTCCAAGAGTAGGTAGAAGGAAGAGGGCAGCTTGCGGAGGCAAAGGGTGCAGAGACAAGAAGGCAGATGCCAGACGACAGCAGACCAGCTTTGGCCTTGAGGAATTTCATTTTGGTGGGATCTCTTCTGCAGCAGAGAAGGAGAGATAATGAGTTGGTCTTGAAAGTCTTGGAGTACAAAAGACAAGTGATGCATAGAGGGCGGCACCACAGTTGATATACCTTCGAGTCTAGCGAAAGGAGTTCGTAATTTATCCAGAGCAATGTCTTGGTCTGGCGCTCGCTAGACAAGCCCAGGTGTTTCGGATAAAAGCAGGGTACTTGGTCTCTTTTGTTGTCTGATTCTAATTCACCAAGTACCTTGAAGTCACCAGCTCACACTGGCGCCTAAACTACATCAGCCAGAATCACCTGTCCACCGGACCATTGCCCTGATCAGAACGGGGTTTTAAAATAGCATTGCAGGTGGCATAATGTGCTTCGGCATTGCTTCATGGACCAGCTACCGAGGCAGGTTACTGTCTGGCAAGTACACGCGAGTCTAGACGTGTATCGTTGTGGGGTGCCAAGCCAATTGGTTCTAGGCTGATACACTGCCCCGAGATGAGGGTTTCATGCCAAAACAATTTAAACTTCAACTGCTAACTGCTAGTGACCACATCATTGACACCTGTCAGCATGAAGGTCAGCTGTAGTTGCCATTGTATCTGCAAGCATTGATGGAGGTTCACGAATGACCAAATATCAGTGGTCTCTGGCTAACCTCCTTGGGACTCCTTGGGACTCCGGAGTGTGGCAGATTCCCAGTGTATAACGTATAACCCACCAAATCCCCCTTCGAAACGAAAGGTCTCCGCAGGAAATGCTTGGCATCGGCTATTCCCGCATACAATTTATTCAAGGTCAAGTTATCTCTGGAACCGAGGTAGACCCTGGACCCTGATGGGCAACCATCGGTAGGCTATGAGGACAACCGTGCAACATCGGACCCCACCCCTGTAGATTCAGATGGCCTTCATAATTCCGGTGAGCAAGCTTGGCGTTTCGGTCTAGCCAGCCTAAACCTCTTCATTCACCCGTTCAGGCTAATCGCCATTCGAAGTATCCATTCTCGCCTACGAGCAAAGAAGTAGATATCTGGACAAGGGAAACAATGCAATATCCGTTCTCAATTGGGATACTCCACCGGTCAAGTAGCTAGACCTCGAGCATCAGCTTTGTATCCTTCAGATGCTGAGTCGTTCTGTCTACAAATACTGCTCCATTCCCACGTAGATGCTGCGATTCCCATCTCTCGTTCCATCAACATCAACATCAACATTCATTCATTCATTTAGTTCATTCCTCAAGCTCAAGAGCAATCATCCCTTCTTTCCCACATGGTTCAAATCAAAGCAGCTGCTCTGGCTGTTCTTTTCGCCAGCAATGTGCTCTCCAACCCCATAGAGCCCCGCCAGGCCTCGGTGAGCATCGATGCCAAATTCAAGACGCACGGCAAGAAGTACCTGGGCACCATCGGCGACCAGTACACTCTCAACAAGAACGCAAAGACCCCGGCGATCATCAAGGCCGACTTTGGCCAGCTGACTCCGGAGAACAGCATGAAGTGGGATGCTACTGAGCGTGAGCACAGCCCTTGCAGGAAACGAGTGTGATTTGATTCTGATCAGCACATAGCCAACCGGGGACAGTTCTCCTTCTCGGGGTCGGATTACCTGGTATGTATCCTTCACAAAACCCGACAGGTGCCCCCGAGTCTTACATCCTCCAGGTCAACTTCGCCCAGTCTAACGGAAAGCTGATCCGTGGCCACACTCTCGGTACGATTGACCCAGTACTACAGTCCATACTTGAGAAGCCAACTAAACTCGACCAGTCTGGCACTCACAGCTCCCGTCCTGGGTGCAGTCAATCTCCGATAAGAACACCCTGATCCAAGTCATGCAGAACCACATCACCACCGTGATGCAGCGCTACAAGGGCAAGGTCTACGCCTGGGTAAGCCATCCCCAAATGGCAATCTTTCAAGCCAAGACGCCTTCTAACCGAAGCAAGGACGTTGTCAATGAGATCTTCAACGAGGATGGCTCTCTTCGCCAGAGTCACTTCTACAACGTCATCGGTGAGGACTATGTGCGCATCGCTTTCGAGACCGCTCGCGCGGTGGATCCCAATGCCAAGCTTTACATAAACGACTACAAGTAAGTCATTCTTCTCGATTCTCGTCTCATGTCTCGCATTCTAGCCCTGATTCTGACCCCGCCGTAGCCTGGATTCCGCCTCGTACCCGAAATTGACCGGCCTGGTCAACCACGTCAAGAAGTGGGTCGCAGCTGGCGTCCCCATCGACGGAATTGGTAAGTCGCGCGACATTCGAGGTTGAAAGCCAGCGTGTATACAATCTAACATGTTATTCACAACAGGTTCCCAAACCCACCTGAGCGCGGGTGCCGGCGCTGCCGTCTCAGGATAAGTACCCCCCCATTCGTTGGTCTCGCACTACAGGAAAACTGACAGCCCTTTACAGCTCTTAATGCTCTCGCCGGTGCAGGCACCAAGGAGGTCGCTATTACCGAGCTCGACATCGCTGGCGCTAGCTCCACCGACTACGTGAACGTGAGTAGCATCACTGCAAGTGACACGATCGATCTTGCTGACACACACCTAGGTCGTCAAGGCGTGTCTGAACCAGCCCAAGTGCGTCGGTATCACCGTCTGGGGAGTTGCTGACCCCGTAAGTGCCTGTCTCCGTTCGCAATCACAAGAAACACGTGGCATACTAATACCGGAATCTCTCTTTTAGGACTCGTGGCGCTCCAGCTCCAGCCCTCTGCTCTTCGACAGCAACTACAACCCCAAGGCTGCTTATACCGCTATTGCGAACGCTCTGTAGTAGTCGTCTCTGTCACTGGTAAAGCTTGCAGCTTAATCTAGGTGAATTCCGTGACTGAAATGTCGTCGTGATTGTAGGATGAATGGTTGGGGGTTGCTTTTTTGTTTATTTCACCCGACCTGAGCCATTATTCCGTTGCTGAATCTTTCTCTTCTTGCATTGATCAATGCTGAGCATCGCTTTCATACAAGGTTGGTAGTTTACGTGCAATCCTGAGGGCGGGCCAGTAGAATTGCGTTGCCTGCCACAATTTTACAGTCAGTTACCCATCGTCACCATTTCCTCAATCCGACGAACCTGTATGGAACTTGGATTAGATAAATTTACATCTTCAAGGCTTCCTGAAGTATAACTAAGGTACCTGTGATCCTTCCAACCTTTTTTTTTCCAAATGTAAGCAGGGATGCCCTGGGTTGGAATAGCCACGCTTACAGTAACGTTAGCGCTTCCTGATGTTTGTTACTTACCAGTCAGTCACCTGACCAATGAAGCTAAGAGACCCAAGTTACCTTCCCCTCACACTAACTACCTACTGTTAACTCCGTATCTACTAGTGGTAGTTAAACAGTTCTATGCTTCGTTCTTTTCTTGTTGATTATTCTCTTGTTGTTTACCCGAGCCCGCTGGCACTGCACCGTCCTGCACCGCACCGTACTGCACCGCACTGTACTGTACTGCACTGCACCACACACGCGATGCGATGACTTGCCAAGCACAGCTTCAGAGCTACCACTTTTCAGGCACCAACTATGGACTGGAGATCGGCCAGAACTCTGGCAGTGTTTCCGCCCAGTTCCATCTTCCTCCAGGTAAAAAAAAAAAAAAAAAAAAAAAAAGCGCCTAGGACCACTGTGACGTCCCTGCCGCCCGAAAATGAACGTGAAACACTAAGTAGTAGTTTATCCTATGCGGACATTTAGAGCGACCCGAAACCCCGCCGAGCCCATTATCCACCGTCCCCTTTTTGCGGAACCCTGACTATGTTGACTGTGGGTCGCTGGTGGATAAGCTCGATGCGATCTGTGCGGTGCCGGCTTCTAGGACAGCGATTGTAGGCCTCGGGGGACTTGGGTGAGTGTGATTTGTTTTCCGTTTTCCGTTTACCGTATTAATTTTCCCTACCTGACCTCGTCTCGAAAAAAAAAAAAAAAAGCAAATCGCAGTTGGCGATTGAGTACTCCTACCGGGTGCGGGAGAGGTCACCGGAGACGTGGGTGCTATGGATTCATGCCAGCAACACAGTCCGTCTGGAATTGAGCTACCGAGAACTGGCGGACCGGCTCAAGATCTACGGGCGCCGCCATCCGCAGGCCAACATATTCGAGCTGATCAGTAGCTGGCTGAACGACGCCCGCCATGGCCGGTGGATCTTGATCCTGGACAACCTCGATGACGAGCACATGCTCTTCAAACCTTTACAACCTCGCGGATCACTTGCTGATGCGGCGGCGGCGACGGCGAAGGATGTCGGGGCAGCCCGACCGCTCATTGCGTTGCTCCCCACATGTCCCAATGGAGCCATCATCGTCACCACGCGGAATAGAAACGTCGCCATCAATCTCGGGTATGAACGGAACATTCTGACCATCAACCCGATGAGCGAAACTTCCGGGCTGGCGCTCCTTCGGAAAAAGCTTCCGATTGGTGACGAAGGCAGCTTGAGTGAAGCGCGCCTGCTTCTCCGGACCCTCGAGTTCATCCCCCTGGCGATCATGCAGGCGATCGCTGTGATCAGATCGCGAGACCCCCGGGGCTCGATTCTGCAGTACCGCGAAGAGCTCGGGAGGAATCTTCGCCTTCTGGACCACGAGGCTCATGAGGCCCATGCGCAGCGGGACTATGAAGCCGATAACTCCATTCTGGGGACGTGGAAGATCTCGTTCGAGTATATCAGGCGAGCGCGATGGTCCGCCGCCAGGTTGCTCGCCGTGATGAGCTTCTACAATCACCAGGGCATTCCCGAGTGCCTTCTCCGAGGCTTCGACGACGACGACGACGACAGGTTTCATCAGGCTACTACCGATGGAACCTGGGATTGCCGGTTGACTGGTGTGCCTGATGATGAGAATGACGATGGCGCAGATGGTGAAAGCGGCGACGAAGCCGCAGATGGCGGCACTAAGAAGAATGATGACTTTGAAGCGGACATCCGAATCCTGCGCGACTTCTCGTTCCTCTCGGTTACACACGATAAACACATTTTTCAATCCCACAGGCTGGTGCAACGGGCGATCAAAAGGTGGCTGGAGGCGCGGGAGCCTGAAATGGGCTCGCAAAGGATCGCGTTGCGCAGTCTCGATCGCAACTTTCCGTTCAGTGACTACGTTAATGTGGAGAGTTGCCGGCTTTTGTTTCCGCACCTCAGGAAAGCCATTCGGACAAGGCCCTCGACTCCGGAGGCAACCGCAGCTTGGCTGAGTTTGCTTATGAAAGGCGCGGGCTACGCCTTCACCGTCGGAAACTGGAAGGAGGCGGGCCGCATGGGTTCCATGCTGAGATTGTGGGGAGCGCAGAACCTCGGTGAGCCCGGCAACATAGCCACTACCTTTATGGGTGGTCTTTATCAAGCATGGGCCGAATGTATGCGACATAGACTGCCAGTGGCTGAAAGGCTACTGGCGCGATCGGTGAAGATCGCCAAAGAAAGTTTGGGAGAGGACCACCCACAGACGTGGGAAACTATGCTCGAGCTCGCAGACATGTATAGCTGGGCAGGGCGCTTCCTGGAGGCTCAAGCACTCAGAGTCGAAGTGGCACATAGAGACGGAGCTGTTGATAGTGGGCACAGTAATGAGTTGGCACTCTCGGCCACCAATGGCGACAGCCAGCATGGAGAATCCAGCCAGATGGAGCAGATGTTATCATCTGTACTTCGTGCAACTAAGCAGATGATGGGACTCGAGCACCCGTTGGCATTCCATCATAGTCTCAATCTGGTCGATATTTACATGTCGCAACACCGATGGCAGGATGCCGAACGGGTACTCGCACCACTGGCCCAGAGTCACCAAGACCCCGAGTCTTTCTTAATGCTGCTTAGCATCACTAATCTCGCGAGCGTGTATGAGCACCAGGAGCGATGGCCAGCGGCAGAGGCCTGTTACCTGCGCGCTCTAGCCGGGATTCGGACGACATTAGACCGAGGGCACCGGCTTCATCAACATCTTCAGCGTGCGCTGGCAAATCTTTATCTACGACAAGGACAAATCCAGAAGGCTGAACTGCATTTGTTGTGCCTGATCGATCTTCAACACCGTGCGGCTGCGGAGCACGACCCTGATCTCCTCGCTACACTGCACAGTCTCGTCTATGTGTACAAATCCCAGAAACGATGGGAGGATGCACGGCAGACTATGTCCAAGATCACGCAGATGGCCGCTGGGCTTGATGGCGGAAATCATCAGGACACCATTGGCGCCAGGGCGGTGCTCAGCAGACATGACACGGCTATCCAAGAACCAAAAGAAGAACAAAGGACTCTGGTTGAATCCCATCCGAATCGGTCTCCTTCCAGTCTTGATGCAGCGATTGGGCTGTTTCTGGGCGGAGGTGCTGTTTGGCTGTCCTTGCTAGCCGGCAAAGGGCCCGGCCACCGTCCGTGAACCTTGATTGTTTCATAGAGTGGCATTCGAGGCTTTAATAGCATACTACCTAGCTTTCCACAAATCTTGTGGGCGGGGAAATCCTTCCAAGTTGCCTTGTGTCAACTATCAGTAGGTGGCGTGACATTCTCTTGTCCCAAAGTTTGTCACAGATTCAGGAGTAACTTAACGTTTAGTGTATGGTCTGAAAGTATGTATGTAAAAATTAAGTATCCTATAAAATATTCAAATCACCGATTGGCTGCCCTGGTAAAAGCAGCGGCACCTCCACCGGGGTAAATAGATGGGACATGTAGCAAAACCGCTCACCATATACATATACGGAGTAACTACTGTACTGTACACTGATAATAACGGAGGGCCTCCGCCGGGAGGCACCTCACCGCCTCCCCAGCCGCGTGTAAGATAGTTCCTCGATGGCGGAAATCCATGTTGTTTATGCTTTTCTGCCTTTCCAGCTGCGTGTAAAATAGTTTCTTAATAGCGGAAATCCACGTCTTCCACGCTTCCCTCAGATAATATATTCAGTATGTGGCAACGGTACTTGACAAGCGTCCGCAACTGCCGAAACGAAGCGCTACAGGGGGGGGGGGGGACTCCACTTCAGCCTTGGAAGACTTTAGCGCTAACTTGGCGTACAGACATAGTAGTAAAGGAATATCACTCCGTATCCGACCTGGACCCTGCAGTCTTAAAGTGATACAAGGGGCCTCATTTCCAATGAACGGAGGCTTATTCGCCAATAACCACCCCCCTCCCCCACCTCTAAATGAGCTCGAGCTTCTGCACCCAAGGTTTCCCCGCATAAATTGTAGAAGCTGGGCACTTCTGCCGATATCCCCCCCGCCGGGAGAGTAACTTATTCAAGGGTCCTTCGAAAGACCCACTAGCTATCCTGTTGGACTTGACATACCATTGGAATGGAGAGCCCTGAGGTTGCAGTTCTTCATTTCATCCACTTTAGCCATCGGATGTAGGTTTTCACCCTCCCTACGTAGCGTAGCTTGCCTACACGGAGTCCATGTGACAGTGACATTCTGAATATTATCGCCAAGCAATGGAATGTTCAAATCGAGATCGGAAGAGACCTTTCCCTTCCCTAGAGTTCTCTTTGGGACGGGGGTGGGGGGGGGGGTCCAAAGGATATTCCTGTCCCCGGTATGTGGGCATAGACGTAGTTGATTTGGCTCACAACGATCTAATACTCTTGCGCCCAAAGGATTGTCCATTCGTTGGAGCTTTTTCTTGGACTAACGAAAGAAGCCATAATGCCCCGAGTAATCTATTCTTTCTAGTTCAAACTACCTTGGCCTTGGTTGGTAAGAATACCAAAGTCGGGATAATCACTGGTATGTTGGCAGTGGCTGCTGCAGTATACAAGTAGTCCGCCGCATTCATTCTAGCCACGCCCCGTTTACTTGTGCTTCACAGCCTCAACAACCACCGTTGACTAACCAAGGCGGTGCCCTCGAATTACACATTGGAGCGGAAAAAGGGTAAAAGTATCCTGTTGCTTGCTTTCGACTCCCAAATTCTCCTTTGCTTCTCTAGGTCTCTTGTACCCACCCCCACCCAGTAGAAGAATTGTAGGACGGCCCGTCCTGCGACAGGGATATAATATCGCAAACAAGAGAGCAATTAGTATGACAACAGAACCGATAGGTAGATCCCCCCCCCCAAGATCCAAGCTTATCTAAGTCTAACTTCGCCCTCTGTGTCCGAGTCTACTCAGAAAACAGACTCCCCGGATCGAAAAAAACAGTCTCACGAGGCACACACAACTAGCATAATACATATTTGTGCTGCCCAGTACTTCCCATTCTTTTCCCTGGCGTAAACTTTCCGCCTATAGAGCTTAAGACCGAAGCTTTCTCCGGGAAACCCGCAAGTATAGTATAGCACCTACCGACCTCTCCGGAATCAAATCAGTACTGCCATTAGCCCATAACTTTCATTTAAAAAATATGAACAAATCAAACCACCCCCAACCTGAAAAGCAAGGACTTCAAATATCATGCCTGGCGAACCGACTCGCCAACCTCAGCCGCCTCCCAAACCTGAGCAGCACAAACGGATACGGCACTAACAACACAGCCAAACACCCGAGCAGCGTACACGCCCACCCAACCCCCAGATTGCGAAACATGGCCGTCGCGAACAGCGGGAACGCCGCCCCGAAGCTCGACCGCATAAAGTCGTTCCCCGCCAGCACCGAGGCCGCGTACGTGGGGTACGCGTGCGCCTCGTACGTGAAGATGCTATTGAAAATCAGACACCCGCCCACCGAGAACAGCCCGGACGCGAGGATGGGTACAATCCAGTGCACACTCGCGAAGTTGCCGGTCCAGCCAAACCAGAACAGGGAGAAGGCCAGACAGACGGCGCCGACGCAGGCGGAGGGGAGCTGGGCCTCCGGGGGCAGGTTGCCGTTGCGATCGAGGTAGCGGATCTGGTAGTGGGATTTCCAGTAGAAGTAGCCCGGAATGGCGAGGCAGATTGTGCCGACTAGAATGCCGAGGAAGGCGAGGCCGTTTTGGCCGGCGTTGAAGCCGTGGAGGTCTTCAAAGATGATGGGGAAGGCTTCGAACCAGATGTGAAGGATTCCGTAAATCAAAGAGATGTAGAGGCTGAGGAGGAAGACGATGGGCTCGAGGAAGCTGAGTTGGAAAGGGCGGATTAGGGCTTCGAAGAGGAGGTCCTGTTGTTCCCGCATCACCATGCCATTAGAGATTGCTTCCGGGTGTGATGCCTCACGGTCTGATTCGACTTTGTCTCTGATCTAGAGGGAGGAATTAGGCTCACCTTCTTGCTCACCCTCCGCAACTCCAGCTCCGACTCAGACACACAGCCCGCATCCCCGGTAATTTTGCGCACGCGCGCCGCCCGCCGCGAGAGGATATTGGGCGCGTACGTCTCCGGCAGGCCCACGAACAGCACCACCAACGTAAACCCGGACACCCAGATCAGCGGCCAGATTGTCCAGGTCCACCCCTTCGCGGCGGCCGCGAACCCGCCCACCAACGGCCCCAGCACGGGCGCCGAAATGGCGAAGCACCCCCATATGGCGATCATATAGTCGCGGGCCCGCGGACTCCAGATATCGCCCATCGAGGCGCCGCCCGTGGCGAGCGCGGGTGAGCCGAGGAACCCCGCCAGAAACCGAAAGGCCAAGAACATGCCCAGATTGCGGGCGTAGATGACCCCGAAGTTGAAGAAGACGAAGACCACCAGCGTCAGCACGTAGGTGGGGCTGCGGCCCACGGCGGGGAGCTCGGACAGAGGCGACAGCAGCATCGGGCCCACCCCGTACCCCAGCACGAAGAGCGTCAGCCCCAGCGTCGCGGCCACGCTGCTGATCCCGAAGTGCTGCGCCGCCGAGGGGATTCCCGGCGAGTAGATGGCGGAGCCGATGTAGATGGCGAAGGTGAGGAGCCAGATCTGCGAGCTAACCAGGAGTTTCTTGGGGATGCTCCAGTTTTGGGGGTTCGGTTCGTATTATCAGCAAGGGGCTCAGGGCTAGTGGTAGAGTGATGTATGAAAGCATCCATACCTCGGGGTCATCCAGCGCCCAAGTGATGATGGTAGGGCTGCCGCGCTGTGCCGATGAGGGCAGTGCCGGGGCGGAGGTGACAGTGGACGTCCTTCTCCCCACGCGGGAGGCCTGCGACATAACCGTGTATAAACCATAGGCTTCGAGGTCTTCTTCATAGCTGTCGTACTCCGAGCCCGATATCTCAGATTGCGCGGGTTTGGTCTCCTCCGAGCTTTTGACGTATGTGGTCCAGATGGAGGGGTCTTCTTCCTCGGGGAAGCGCAGGAGCCGGCCGCCGCTGAACAGACGCATCAGCTTGCCAAACCTGGTGTCGCGGATCGTTTCGATCATGGCATTGTGCAGTCCAGTCAGTTGAGACATTGATCCTGTTGTGGATTTGCGGTCATTTACCAAAATAGACGCCTGTGTTATAAAGTCCCGTGAAGCTTCGTGACTATCTCCGTATAGCCGGGCGTAAATCCGCAGGACGCTGCCGAAACTCACGCTGAGGGGGCGTACCAGTGATTGTATCCGTCGGATGGGCGGTCGTGGCATCCATGCACCAGAGCGGCGGTATCTGGACCCTGGTTAAAGCTTTTTTGACTCTTGATCTGGATTACCAAGCTCGGTCCGCGCGGGTTTGTCTCTATCATCGGTGAGGTTGAGCTGACGCCGCGGGCGAAGTCCTGGCCAAACTCTGATGAATAAATCCCGTCTAGGTAGTAGAGATGAGAAATTGCATCCTATTCCAGATATTCCTATGCATGTTCTTTTGTATGAGGATGATCTTCGTTCGTCAACCCGAAGTGTGAATTAATCATCGGTGTAGCGATCTCGGAGAGCGCCATTCACACACTAGAGGTCCATAGTTACTTATTAGGTATCCGCCCTATCACAAAGTTGAGATGGCATAGAACCACACGAAAAGGGTATCTTAGTATTTCCCAAAGGAGTGGGAAATTAAGGAATGAGTCTATTGAATCCATCTATCTATGCTACGCTATTCCTTTTTAGAAGGGTCAAAGCCAGCCCTCCCCTCTGTCTATTTCTACATTGCGCGATGCTTCAAACCCTATCGTTGACATGCCAGACCACACAAACTGGAAATACAATTTCAATGCTTCACGGATCTTGCCGTTCCGCGCTGCGAAACAATCGGACGATCTGGTCCTGGCACTGCAGCACCCCCTCAGTCTAGTAGCTTGCCTTAATGATATCGGAAGCCCGCTCGGCGACCGCATACAGAGTGCTGGTCAAATGCCCGCAGAGCTGGAAGGGGAGGATGGAGGCATCGACCACGCGGAGGTTCTGGGTGCCGTAGACCTTGAGCTCGGGGCTGACGACGCCGCCCTTCTCGCGGGGCAGCATGCTGTTCGTGCCGACGGGGTGGTAGTTGGTGCGGTCTGGTTCGATTGTCAAGTTAGCGGTGACTGCTGCAGGTCATGCTTATCGCTATCGTCCAAAGGAGAAGAGATGTGAAAGGAAGGAAATCTTACAGGTCGACTCAATCCACTTGGTCCACGTAGCGCTGGATGCATTGGCCGGAAGCACCTGGAGGCCCGGGGAGACCTCCTCGCCCACCAGCCCGCTCAGCGGGGCGGTCCCCAGCGCCTTGCGGATGTACTGCGCCACCGTGACCTGTGCCTCGGCGTCCTGGGCGAACATGAAGTAGTTGGGGTTGATGGCAGGGAGGTCGGAGGCGTTGGCGGACTGGATGTGGACGCTGCCGCGGGAGAACGGGAGCAGGGGCCAGTACTCGATGGCGAAGGACTGCCCGCTTGGGGCAAATACGACCTCCGTGTAGGGCACCTGCGCCTCGAAGATCAGATCGTACTGGCGCTCGAACGCCTCCAGGAGATTGGCGGCCTGGACGGCCCCGTGCGAGGCGTTGGCGACGGTCTGCGCGTAGCTGGCGAGCTGGGACTTGACGTAGGTAGCCAGTGCCGTGGCGTTGTCCTCGCCGTACAGCTGGTTGACCGAGGGCAGGACGGAGAAGGTAGCGAGGCCAGTCAGGGTGTCGACGCCGTCCCAGGTGAGGCCGTTGTTGGTCTGGTCCTGCAGGTTCTCGCCGACGGTGGTCAGATTGACCTTGACGGGGATGTTGTGCTTGCTGAGGAGGGCCGGGTTGCCCACGCCCGATAGCTCGAGAATGGCGGGCGAGCGCAGCGCACCGGCCGACAGTATGACCTCCTTGTCTGCGTAGATCGTCTGCGTGCCGTACTCGTTGGTGATCTCAACTCCCACGGCCACAGCCTCCTCGCTTTGGGTGGTGTTGGCCCAGATGACCTTGTTCGCACGCGTGTTGGAGATGATCTTCAGGTTCGAGCGGGCTTCGTAGGGCCAGTAGTAGGCGCGGGCGGCGTCTTCGCGAACGTTCATCTCCCGGTCCAGGGTGTCAGGGTGGACGGTGAATCCGACCATCCGACCTCCCTCCGAGTCTGGGTTGTACTCAACGCCCAGCTTCGCAAAGGTCTGCTCCAGGACGGGGAAGACGCTGCTGTTGGTCATGGAGGTGGGCCAACCGACCTTCAGAGGGCCGTGCAGGCCATGATAGCTGGCATTGTAACTGGCTCCGTGGGCAATCTGGTCCTTGGTAGGCACTTGAAAGCCCTCCGATTTCTTGTAGTACTGCAACAGGGTCTCCCAGTTCCAACCTTCGTTTCCGAACTTCTCCCAGAGATCGATCTGCACGTCCTGAGCTCGGGTGTAGGACATCCCTGCGTGAGAGAGCTGGTCAGTACATAGCATGGTCCTTTTTCTTGACTTGTGTCTGCGTTGGAAGGAAAGAAGACAAGCCTACCATTGATAGTGCTGGTACCACCCAGAGCCTTTCCAGCACGGATCGTCTGCTGCAGACCCCCTGCGTAGGTCTGGTTTTCAGTTTGGTAGGCCCAGTCAACCTGCGTGCCGAATGCGGTGCTGTAGCCCATAACATTCGACACGTTGAAGTTGTTCAACGCGGACTCGCCGGCCTCGATGACCGCCACCGTGACATTGCTCATCTCCGAGAGGCGGTTGGCCACCACCAAGCCGCTGGTGCCTCCACCGACAATGACGAAATCATAGTGAGCGGGCGAGCCAGTCTGAGACTTGGCCGCCGCGCCTAGCGAGAAGGCCGCAAGAGCAAAAGAGGGAAGAAGCATCCTGGCGGTAGATTGAGGTGATGATAGACACACACCATGATCAGACGTCAAGATCCGTCTCTTTATACACAAACCCCGAGCCCGACCCCGTGCCTAACATGCATGAGGGACCTTATCAAGCTCATCTGCAGGCACCAGGCACCACCTCCGAAATGTCATCCTTCACGCTTGGTAAGACTGACCATTTGCTGAATCAAGCCTTAACAATCTCAACCGCGCGGAACGCCCCGTATAAGAGTGGATCCTGGACATGATACCTGGCCAATCTAGAGTCTCCGGCCGTGATTGCTCATCCTGACAGACTGATTTACGCGTTCCTTAGTCAAAGATTAATCACTCAGGGTCTTCGGGCCAAGACGGGACACCGGTGTAAATCCCGCACGGCATGCCGATTTATCGGGCCACGTTTGTTGTGAGTGTATCGGCATGCCGAAAATTGAGGTTTCCGAGCGCACAGCGCCGGTCGCAAAAACCAAATAAATTAGTCAAAAGATCCTAGAATGTTCTACACTACCTTCTGGACTAGTGGGAAGTTGCGGGATAACAGATCAATCAGCATGCATAACAAATTCACAACCATCAATTGGCATTGGGGGAAAACATGCAGGTGGAAGGAACAGCTCCCCACTACATCATTTGGGCCTTTTCTACACTCTCGCATCACAGCGCCCGAAGAGAATAGTACGCGTATCTTTGTCTAGTATGCTTCTCCCCAGTCTCATTGATTTATATATTCTTGAATACGAGATGGTATCTGTTATCGCATCAAGCCTAGTTTACTATGAGTATAGCCCGCGAGCCAAAAAGTGCTACAATCATACATACCTGTCTGCTATCTTTACAAGCATGCAGTTTCTGACTGAAATGACTGAAATATTCATGTCCTAGTTGTATATTGTATAAATGAGTAGTGCAGGGGAAGGTGAGACACGCTCATGCTATCTAGGCGTGGGCATGGCGGCAACTTGCCATGGAATGCTATCAAGCCAAGCAGATCTCAACCTTCTTATGCTACAATGATTAGAACATTCGTCTCATGAATCAAAACATAGATCTGAAGTGACAACGTGGGAAGGGTCTAGCCGTCTCCCCTCAAAGCAATTGCGGCAGCACGGATCAGTTGACCTATACCACGACGATCATAGCAATGTCGCTGTAGATATTTTCTTTTCATTCTAGAATTTTTTTTCCAGGCCGCTTCTTTTCTGTCCCTTTGTTCCTTTGTCACCTCTTGATCAAAGGTTGTTGCTCAATTGTGCGATGGTGGTACGATTCCCGTGGGGAACCCGCAATCCACGGAACCAGCCCTCAAATGCAACCTGCACGACCCATGGTTCACCATTTACGCAGATATCCACGTCATGGAGATTCTCTGCAGCATCATAGATGTCCAGCCTGATTATGGCCCAGCCCGTAGCTCCAAGACAGAAGACCGTGACGTCCTCGAAAGGACGTCTTTCCAAATTCTGTGGTCCGTTCTCGACTGCCGGGCCCTCCCGATGCTGCAACGAGGGCCCTCACGCGCACAATTTGACCCAGACTCTGGACCAGTGACTCGGAACCAAGCATTGAATTTGAAAAAAGGTCACGTTGGAGCGCCCTGGGGCAGGAGTGCGGAGTGCAGTACATGTACACCACCCACAACCCCGCCCTGTGATGCATGACATGATATCACTACTCACCGCTATATATGGATGGAAGCCCCGAGTAGTTAAAACATCCGTACATATCTGTGAATTGATTCCCACCTCCACTTCACTCTCATTCTCGATTCTACCCCACGTCTAGTACCTCAATCCTCTCTCTCTCTCGCAGAGATAAGCTCCTCACCATGGCGCCCCGAATTGCCATCGTCTATGTATGGTCCCCTTCCGTGCCTACCAACGGCTCCTCCCATCAACCACACCTCAACTAATCACTGAATATGATGATTCCAGTACTCGATGTACGGCCACATCGAAAAACTCGCCCAAGCCGAGCTCAAGGGTATCCAATCCGCAGGCGGCACCGCCGACCTCTACCAGTAAGCATGCCCCTACCACCCACAAACACCACACCCACGACCCCCCCC